AGTTTTTGACACAAAAGTATGAAATTTTTTATGTATTCAAAACCGCTGGAGTATCGCTTTCCGGGGACAATAAGAATACGTTTTCCCTCTACTACTCTTTTCGTGGTCTGTGACAAGACTTGCCCCTTTTTTACTTCCTTGATCGAAGTAAAGAGGAAGTATTGTAATCGCGAAAAGTTTCAGGCAGCATATTTCAACGAAAATATCCATTTTGACCACTATCGAATGCAATTTAACTATGTTTTTGCGTGGCATCTGTACGTAAGGACAGAATAAAAGACTCTTTACCTCCAAAAAAATTATAAAACTGTTTTAAAATGAATTCTGAAGGGAATTTTTCGTGGCGTCTGTACGAACGTATGTACGTACGTACGTACGTATCTCGCATAACTCAAAAACGAGTAGCCTCAGAACGTTGAAATTTTGTATATAGGATCGCTGTATTATGTGGATGTGCACCTCGTATTTTGGTTGCAATTGGCCGCACCAAACTTATATAAATATATATATATATATGTATCCACTTTGTAACCCGGCTCAGTGACCTCAGTTTCTTTACTCTTATATGTTTGTAAATTGTGAATTTTTTGCTTTAAAAATCATTGAGTTATGTTGTTCTTATCTTCCGGTTAAGGTTTTTATGCCTTTCGTAAATCTGCAAGCAATATTTGTACAATTGTCAACAATTTAAAAGCTGTTAAGTGCGGTTAAGCCTAATTTTTAAATAACATGGCTTACAATTTGTTTACATTTGAAACAGCGGAATAGTAGATTTGTTGAGAATCTAGAGAGACTAAGCTTTGATGCGAATTAAATCATGCATAATCCTTTCTGGAATTTTTTCGAGGAAATAAGTGTTTAAGATTTACTTCGTAATTTTTAATACATATATTTTGATTTTTATTTTATTTTTGCCTTGTCGCGAAGTGAAAATGAATTAATTGAATAAGAATATTCAAATCGTCTGTGAAAAACTGTTTTTCTTTTTTTTTTTGTTTTTTTACTAATTTCTTTATACATCGTTCTACATATATTAGAGTATTTAAATACAACATGTGGAAACGATTACATAATTCTTCAAATGATATAAATTTTGTGCATTCTGGGTTATAATATGAACAAAATATAGCGCTATTAAGTGAACCTAGCTCCAGAGTGTCGTTATGGTAAACAAATTTAGTTAATTTTTAAAGAGTGTATGTATTCTGTTGTCTTTTATGCGCTATCGACAAAGTAGATTTAATTCAATCCAATAAGTTTAAATGAAATGCAAGAAAAAATGCGTATAATTTAATATTCCGTGCAAGGAAGTCATGTGGTGTACACATCAGATTTCTTATTATTATTCTGTTCTTAATTTTAAGGAACTATAAGTGAATGTTGCAATCAAAGACAAGTATTGGAGAGCGCTGGATAATTTTTCGAACATTTTTCGTTTATTTCTGAAAATTATTACCTTGTGCTCAACGTGTATGCTAAATTTGTAGATGAGAACATAAGCAAAATATATGAATATCGGATATAAAAATACAAATATGACGAAAATTTTAAAAATAAATAATGGAAATAATAAAACAAATGTAAAATAAAACAAAAATGGAAGAATTTCTTTTTCTAATTCGGATCCGCTGATCTTTATCATAAGGCTGTAAAATTGTCGACGAAATACTTTAGTATTGCACTGTTTATTTTTTAAATAATGTTCGAAATTAAGTCGTGTGAAATCATTTCGTTTATCGTTATAAAATACCGTATACATTGCGTAATGCTCGCACTGTTTATCCCGAAATTTCAAATAAAATTTCCGGTTGCTGCTCACGGCTCATTATGTTTCTAAGTTTAATAAATTGCTCCTGTTATCGCGCGCGAAGCGTATAATTCTTGAAAGGCGCACAACTCGTGTAAAAGAACACAGATAAAAATTCCATAATAAAATACCTTATGATTGTCAAGCAATTCTACGCAACTCTGAATTGTTTTCTTCAAAATAGACCGAAGTTTATGTATTCAGCAGCAGTTTATTAATAATTATTTTTAAATACATTATTTAATAAAAGAAGATTTTACTTTTTATGACGCCATAAGAGTGCTACACGTAATTTGCATGTATGTGGCAGCAGTTCTTGTTTATCGATCACTCATCATTTGACGATGTTAAGTTTCAATGCCTTTTCCGCTATCGTGATCAAGAATCTTCATTCCCAGCAGTAAATTTCAATTCCGTCCATTGCATTTGATTTGCCTATTTGTATTAAACATTTTTCAAATGATATTCTGAGACACATGTTTCTTCGCTGATAAATCTCCGGGTTATATACAGTCCACAACAAGGTGGTTAACTATCCATCCCTTTTCTTGCATTCACGCAATATTTCGTTGTATTAATGTGTCCTTCACAAAAATGCACGAACGTGCATATTAGTTAATTCCTCTTGGAAAATCTTCCTCGAAGGCATACCTTCCCTTAGGCAGATAGCCCTCGTGTGTTTCGCCATAAATAGTCAAACCGAATCAGTAATTCGTATTTCGCTATCTTTCTCGTCCATTTATATAAAATGACAACTACAGTGTATGATTCGGAATTTCCTGTAGGAAATAAACGATTTGTAAGCTAGAAAGCACGCAACAAGGGAGAACGGGCCTTAGCACAATGAAACATAACAGCGCAAACGCTTGTAGAATTGTCTTCTATTGGTAATCCCATCCATGATCACAAATATGCATATGCAGTTCAGACCAGTGTTTCTTCAGTGCTTATGCTGTACATTGTTTGAAGGCTTTATTTATTTTTACTGATCTGTTTTTCTTAGAAAGCTGAACACTGGTGATTCGAACCTCATACCGACAGTTCGGTATGAGGTACGACGAATCCCGCGTACGGTCTGCCTGCGTGGGCGTTTTTGTGGCTTTTTTCTATGTGTAACATGTATAGGAGCCAGTTTCCCTTCAAAGTCATTCAAGAAGGCATCCCTCTCCTTAGGCAGGTAGCCCTCGAGTGTTTTGTCATAATCAAATAAACCAAACCGACCCTAATCTTCAGAAACTGGCAGTGATTCTGTAGAATGCAATTACATTACTCTTTTACTGCTCTAGCTTCTCTCGAGAATTAGATTAAAACTTCAGAATCCCCTATTTTCATACATACATGAAAAGGAAGAGCGGAAAAACGGTCATCAAAATAATTTTGACAAAGTGCGTAAATCACATGTGGCGTTATTATCGCTTATAACAAATATACCAAATTTCAAAACGCGCCAATATATAAATTCACGTATATCTGAGGGAAAAAAAAAAAAAAAAAAAAAAAAAACTCTGTAATCTTTTCTAGGTATGCTTAGAAATACATCTACTTGAGATGATTGAATAAGATGATTGAAGAAATTTTATGGGCTATTCTTAAAAAATTTTTTCGAAAAATTTATAAAAGTTATTTAAAAATAAATCATAAAATAATGTGCGAATTATATTTGGAGAGAAGCCCTAATTTCGAAATCTGGAAGAAGCAATCAAGTAAGTTTAATAAAAATGAGATATTAATAAATATATACCAAATTCAATTAACATTGAAGAGCTAAAATTTTGAGAGCTAATTTTTTAAAAACGATTCGTGCCATTTTTACAAAACTTGCCAGTTTGGCATAATTTGAATCGTAAAATCGAAATATGGGGAAAAAAAATTGGTATGTTATTTCAGAAAAAGTCCGGTTTTGTGTCAGAATACCTATGATAGAACAATGCTATGTATAAATATAATATGTATCCTAAGTCGGGCTTTCAAGACATGAAAAAGTGCAATCTGAATTTCGTCAATCGGCCCAGTAAAGCGGGAGATATAGGACTCTCTTTTTTATTTTTTTCCCACCCCAGTGTACCTATTTTGCTTCATATGAATTGCCTTGACATCATGTATTAAACAATTATTTTATTGATATTGTAGAGACGAGACATTAGGATTTTTTCGAAGCAGGAGGGATGAAAAATAGCAACCGTCTTCGCCGGGAATCGAACCACGGGCCTCTGGAATACCGGCCCAGCGTGCAGAACCACTACACCACGAAAGCACCCTAGGAAGGCGGGAGAAATACCTTACATACTTCCACTTTAATGGCGACTGTGTTTTAGGGAACAATCGCCAAATCCCTGGGTGTGGAAGTCATCATCCACAACCCTTTTAGTTTCAGGCGCCACTGTAGAGGCATTTATTTTTTTTTTTTTTATTTTTATTTTTTTTTTATTATTATTATTATTATTATTATATTATTTTTAAGCCAGATAGATGAAAAATGAGAAAACGCCTTCGCCGGAAATCCTCATCCAGCACCCTTTTAGTTCGGGCCCCAGACGCCTTCGCCGGGAATCAAACCACGGACATCTCGAATACCTGCCCAGCGTGCAGAACCACTACACCACGGAGGCACGCTAGGAAAGCGGGAGAAATACCTCTTCAATTAAAAAATTATGTCAGCTATGCAGTTTCTTCGGTATGCATAACGCTTTTACATCAATCTTAAAGACAAATTAACTTTAAATCGAATCATGGCATACCGCAGGCCACTTGTAGTGAGTATTAGTAACTTTTTAATAGTATAAGTTAAACATTTGATCGAAACTTAACTTTAGGACATTTAGTCTCTGTGACACCTGTAACAGACTTGATTATTTGCAGTTTTAAATACAACAATTATGCTTCGTGTCTCTTTCTACTAATAAAATCCATTTACATTCCCCGAATAGATAATTACTTTTTTACTAGCTCATGTTATTTATCCATATATAGGATTTTATGGTATCCTTTTTAAAACTTTTGCTATTCCCTTGAAGTAGTATAAGATTTCAGTAGATATTGAGAAGCTTTGGAAGGTGGCTTTTATATATAGATCTTTTTTGCTGCAGAATCTTTACAAAAGTAGCTTTGCTTTGTGTTTTAAATTAAAACTGCCAGGCATTGTTAGGGGAAAGATTGCCTCGAATCTTCACTTTTTCCTTTTTGTTTATTTCAGAGCATGATATCCTTGAGCTAGAAAAAAGGAAACTTACTTTATCCGATCAAGAATCCGAAGATTACGAATTAGAAAACATGAAGGAATTAAACGCTGCACGAAACGGTAAGCCAATTTTGTGTTAGGGCTTCTGATGTTTTGTATGTTTTCTTTCTGGTATGCTACGCAATTAATGTTGTTCATTTTTACTTCCTTCTACGAAGTAAAGGAAGTATTGTAATCACGAATGATTCCGGGTATCATATTTCAAAGAAAATATCCATTTTGCCCGCTACCGAATGCAATTTAACGATGTTTTTGCGTGGCATCTGTACGTAAGAACTGAGTGAAGGACTCATTTTCCCAAAACGGGGTTCGAAAAGGACTTCAAATGGATTCAAAAGAGATTTTTTTTCGTGGCATCTGTAGGTACGTAAGTATGTATGTATCTCGCATTACTCAGAAACGAGTAGCCTCAGAATGTTGAAATTTCATATATAGGACTGCTCTAACATCTAAATGTGCTCCTTCCTTTTTGTTTGCAATCGACCGCGCCAAAAGTATATATATAAAACTTATATATATATATATATATATATGCGCTCTGTTACCAGGCTATGTGAGCTAAGTTTTTTTTTTTTTTTTATATTATATATGTTGGTAAACTGTGCATTTTTTGCTTTAAAAATGATTGAATTATGTTGTTCATATCTTCCGGTTAAGGTTTTTATGCTTTTAATTAATCTGCATGCAGTAGTTGTATAATTATCAACAATTTAAAAATTGTTTCAGTGCGGCTAAGCGTAATTTTTTTTTAAACCATAGCAGACATATTTGTTTACATTTGAAACTTTGCAGAAAAATGAATTAAGTCAGTTTCTGCACCTTCAGTGTCATTTTGCCGAGTGGGACCAAAAGTAAACTTTCAGTTTTGTGCACCGAAACATCTGCCTTCTGACCACATCAGATTTTTTCGTTTGTATCATTATAGGTTCTACTTAAATTAAGTGCCCTTGGTAACTAGAACTTGAGAATAGTGTAGCGACTATTCGATGCTCTTCTCACAACTACAAGAACAAGTTTCAAAGAAGGGTCAACTACCCTTTTAATTTAACTTGAGAATATTAACAGGAATAGTTTTGCAGGAAAAATAGAAAATAAGAAACTAAATTAATTCTAACAATTAAAAACTTAACTGAAGCTGTATAGAAATAACTAACCGAGTTGGCCCTGAGCTGTTGTACAGAAGTGATTGAAACTTCCAATTAAATACTGGTTCTACCTCATTTACATAAAACGCGATACTGAAAACTAATTCTGACAAGGAATTCTAGGAGGGAAACAGGAAAATATATGAGAGTTGTTTTAAAATTAAAACTAACTCTTATGAGATTAAAAAAACCTAATATAAGGTGATACTGATATTCTTGCTATAAATTTTTGTCGTTATGTGTTTAAGTAAGGTAGCTTTTTATATACAAAATGTTTTTAAAGAAACTTAAAGCATTATACTCCCTTGGCCCACCAGCGGCCGAGCGGTAAAGTCGCTGAACACTGGTAGTTCGGTCCGAGGTTCGAATCCCGCGAACGGGCTGGATGCATGGGTGTTTTCGTGGTTTTCCCCAGTTGTAACGCGTATACGCCAGTTTTCCCTTAGAAAGTCCTCCACGAAGGCATCCCTCCCCTTAGGCAGATAGCCCTCGAGGCTTTGCCATAATCTCACACACACACACACACACACACATTATACTCCCTTACTGAAATGTTAAGGGACTTTAAAGAAACACGAGCAAAAATTACGAAAAATACACTTGTAACCTGTTTCATTTTTCTTCGAGAATTTGCCCTGTAGATTTGGATGTGCCTTGTCTGAGTGGGATGTTGCAGTTTGGCTGCGTTGTTGATAGAAAAGACAGAATTTTTTTTTTTTTGGATGTTTAAAAAAAAAAAAAAAAAACCACCTTTATATGATATCACGAAGAATTACCGTATTAGTAGGCGTATAAGACGCACCCCTTTTTTACTTCCTTGTACGAAGTAAAAAGGAAGTATTGTAATCGCCAAAAGCTTCAGGTAACATGTTTCAACGGAAATATCCACTTTGACCGCTTTCGAATGCAATTTAACGTGACATCTGTACGTAAGGACAGAATAAAAGACTCTTTTCCTCAAAAAAAAAAAAAAAAAAAAAAAAAAAAATCTGCTTTAAAATTAATTCTGAAGAGAATTTTTCGTGGCGTCTGTACGAACGTATGTACGTACGTATTTCCATACTCAAAACGAGTAGTTCAGAACGTTGAACTTTTGTATATAGGACTACTATACATGTAGATGTGCACCTCGTATTTTGGTTTCAATCGGCAGCGCCAACGTATATACCTATACTTTATAAATATATCCCTCTTTTACCCGACTCAGTGATCTCAGTTTCTTTACTCTTATATGTTGTAAATTGTACATTTGTTCTTTAAAATGATTGAATATGTTGTTTTTTATCTCCGATTAAGGGTTTTATGCCTTTAGTAATCTGTATGCAATATTTTAGAATATCAACAATTTAAAAGTTGTTTAAGTGCCGCTAAGCCTATTTGATGGCGCCATTGCTTGTAGCGGCCATTGTTTGATGCCGTCCAGCTGAGTAGTGAATTTGTTGCCAATCTAGAGAACGTAGCTTCGCAACAACAAAGATAACGCCTTATTTATTATTGCGATTTAATCATGCTAATCCTTCTAGAATTTTTTAGGAAATAAGTGTTTAAGATTTACTTAATTTTTATAATTAGTAATTTAATTTTTAATAATTAGTAACTTTTTAGTAGAGTATTTTGAGTTTTTATGTATTTTTGCCTTGTTGCGAAGTGAGAACTGAATTAGTTGAATGAAAATACTCAATCGTCTGTGAAAAACTGTTTCTTTTTTGTTTTGTTTGCTTAATTTCTTTTATACATCGTTCTAGTTTTATAGTACTTGAATAGAACTGTGGCAAACGATTAGATAATTCTTTAAATGTACAAATTTGTGCGTTTTGAGTTATAATATGAACGAAATATAATACTGTTAAGTGAACCTAGCGCCAGAGTGTCGCTATGGTAAACAAATAAAGTGAATTTTAAAGAATGCACTTATTCTATTGTGGTTTGTGCGCTGTCGGCGAAGTAGATATAATTGAATCCAATAAGTTTAAACAAAATGCAAGAAAAAATGCGTATAATTTAATATTCCGTACAAAGAAGTCATGTGGTGTACATATCAGATTTTTTACTAACATTTTTGAAGTATAAAACTTTTATTACTGATCATTATAATGAATTTGCAGTATTTTAAATATAAAGTAATTCTTTCGGAAAATACCCAATCTATCCGGGAAAGAACACCTTTCAATCTCCTTCGTCAAAACCCAGACACTCATCTCCAGAGCTAGATGAAGAGTCACTTGAAACCTCTTCTAAATCAGCATCTGAGTCCTCATACAACAAATTGTCCTGTGCACCATCCAGTGCATTACTAATGCCACACTTATTAAATGATTTAACCACTGTCTCTGTTTTCGCAGCATCCCATGAATCCTTGACACATTCACAAACGACGTATCGAAGCAATAAGTATTGACGTATATGACGCAAGTATAGGCGTATAAGACGCACCCCGTTTTTCAGACTTAAAAAAAGGTGCGTCTCATACGGCGGCAAATACAGTAATTATAACATTTTTGTAAACACTTTTCCTAATTTTAATTTCTTGTGCAATGAAATTGTGTTATTACTGTAATAAATCTTTGACTGAAACTTTCTTTCCATTCTTTAACCAAGTCTGTAGGTATTTTCCGTTTGGTTTGCGTTGATAAATCTACAGTCATTTAGATAAATACGTGCTTACGTACGTAGTCGGCACGCGTTTCCGTTTATCCATTTCCAAATAATTTTGATGAAGTGTTGTGCAGCGTGTTTTCTTTAGTCACATGCCTAGGCAAAAAAACCAACGGAATGCTTATCGTCGGGTATAAATCTTTGTTTATTGTTATTTTTTACTGTTGACACAGATGTATTTGAAAACAATGTTGTTGTTTTGAGTTGATTTTTCTTATGAGACTGAAGTGTTTGCTTTTGTAACTATTGTAAATGTACGCCCGTTCTACTGGTAATTTTTTTCACCAGTCGTAATTGGAGCGCATGGCAGTTTTCTTTCCTATAATAATAATTCTTATGCATGTACACATTAGTTCCGCGTTCCTTTTTATAACATTTCACACTTACAGAATAAGAAATGCGTAATCTTTTATTTCTAGGGATTTCGTTTATAAAAATTATATCAAGGTGCAATTTTCCTCCTTCATGTTAAGCTATTTTTGTCACACTATTGTAAAACATCATCACGTAGAATGCTTTCTAGTTTATTTTTTGAAGCGACCAAAGCAATATTTTTTGCTCTTTCAACTACTTGGTCTTCCTTTTTTGTATAACGATTGGAAGCCAGAACTGATCAGAAGATAACATCATCGCGTCCTTGTGGTTTTCTTCTGTAAATCAGACTAATTCCCGCAAACATTTACAGATATTCTCGTTGATATTCACTTTTTGACTACTTGAGGAGTACAGTATACTCTCAATTATCCGAGCTAATTTCGGGAAAGCAGGCGGCGGATAATTGAAAAAGAAGAGTAATCCAAACTATCAATTTTCATGCATGCTTTTTGTGTTTATTCCTTTAAAAAATCAGTAATTTGTTTTTGAAAGCGTTCAAATAATTGTCGAATTTCACTGTATATTTTTCGGATTCCTCTTTTATCGCGATGTTCGAATTCCCTTTGCTAAACATGCCCACCAGCGGCCGAGTGGTAAAGTCGCTGAACACTGGTAGTTCAATCTGAGAGTCGAATTCCTCTTAACGGTCTGGCTGCATGGGCGTTTTCGTGGTTTTCACCATGTGTAACGTATATACGAGTCAATTTCCCTTAGAAAGTCCTCCACGAAGGCATCCATTCCCTTAGGCAGATAGCCCTTAATGCTCTGCCGCACTCACAGAAACCAAACGTTTGATCAACAAAGTCCGATCGAGTTTCAGTAGAAGTTGTTATTGCCTCGAGGATAATGTAATTAACTGCTAGCATCTTCTTCACTTGTATTTGA